AAAACTTCAAGATGAAATGTGTTAGCAGTGTTCAACTCGTGTTGTGCACTTCTCCACCTTTAATGTTTGTTACCATTTGATTAAACGCTATGACGAGTTTGACCATTGATTGATATCAGTTAGAGAATCACTGAAACAAGCAGGGAGTACTGGACAGCTAGTTTGGGACTCATCGACAGTACTCATCCACTCAGTTCTGAAGCTAGGATCTTTTGGATACAGGGCGATCTACTTCAGAGAACACTCAGGCACTGGCGCCCAACTCCTCAATACCTAGTCAATGAATTCCTAATTCTAACAATTCGTGATTTTAGCGGAACTGGCATCAACCAATGTCACTGGTGGAGAGTATTTGTTCTCACTCCTATCCTGATGAACTTATTTCATCAAAACTTCTCACCTGAAATCTAGTCAACTTTATTCTGTAACCAGTCAGTCACTACGGACCATCAGACTAATTTAACAGAGTAAACTTGTGTGGTTCTGATTTGTTCTTGGTATGAGACCGCGGACTGATATTGTTTAGATAGCATTTGAAAAGGAGGTAGTACAGTGGAAGTCGTGTCCCAGTGTCTGAATGGTCTAAAAGCTTTCATTGTAACAGAATGGCTGTGCATTTGAACCCTGATGGTTGATGCGTAACTCCGATGAGACTCAGACGTAGTTAAAGCAGCTGTCCAGTACTCCAATCCGTTGTCAAACTTAGAACAAATCATATCCCTACAATCCAACACTTAGACAGATTGCGGAATGTTAACTATCAATGTTCGCAAACATTAATTATTCAAATTAACCCATTTGACATCATTAGTTGATTCTGATACTAAACTATGATGCAGGCCTACTTTATTCTGTCTTATGTTAAGTAATCTGCTTAACAATCACAGATAAGTTTCTATCATGTTAATTAGCATAAATTACAATAAAATTGTCTTCTCAATATTTTAGTTTATTCTAAATGTCCGTTTCTCATTGAATAATGGAATTTATCGACAAAAGGATGGAGGTCAGTCGCTTATGGATTTCTTCGTGTCAAAACTCTGAAACACATACCTGAAAAAAATGTTTGTCAGCTTCGGATTTCACGTGAATAATACTTTAGTTATCGCCTATAAATAACAGTATTCGAAAGATGTTTCGGATGTTTAAGTAATCAGAATTGAAATCGACGGAACTCCAAACAGATCCATGTACACAATGCCGACACGATACGGACAACTCACTTACTGTCATTATTGCCTAGCTGTATATAGAAGACGAAAGCTGATCCATTCATCGTGACACAAAATCCGCAACATTTCCAGACCTGACGCTATGGAAGATGAGCTGAACACTCTGAAAAGAATCCTACTTGAAAATGATCTTTTCATTACGAAATCTATGTGGCCAACACCACTAAAACCACCCAGAATATCTTCTCCCGAAATCTTCTCCACTTCAATCCATAATTCAACGGAGACTCGTCAGCAGAAATACTCGGAAACCACCTGTCCTGACTATTGATTGAAGAAAACTTTCTTTGCGGCTAATACTTAACTGATTTTCTCCACAAGACCAATCACTTGTATGAACGTGAAGGATAAGTTACCACTGCTGACTAGCCTCATCAATGTGAATTTGTCGGCTTAACTGCCCGTGTGCAGCTGAGTATGCTGGCTATATCCAACGTTCGCTATCTGAGCTTGTCATCGGGCACTTGCCATCATGTTTCTATAAAAGAGAAGATTGATTCCCCTACTCCATGCAGCTCTAACCTGAAAAATCTGATTGATTTTGTTCACCAAGCTAACAGACAAACCAACTCTCATGTCATCTACAGAATATGCAGGAATGTTGCTGGAAGAGAAGTTCTTCACTGAACGACTTTTCTTAATTGCATTCTTTTCAATGTCTGTGGGAAGCGCCTTTCAGTAGTGTAGGAGAGAAACTTATTGAAAAGAATAAGATTCCAGATTGGACTGTAGTATTCATGCCTCAAATTTAAGAAAAACGTTTTGAATGAGACCCATAAATATCTATTTATAACAGGAACTGAATTAGGGATAAGTGGACCAAGAACTTGACTTCCGAACATCAGGTCACAGGATGTTTGACATGTCTGTACCCATCCAGGTTCGAGCTGTCAGATAGTGTCAGTAACCTTCACATGACCTGGTGTGGGAAATTGTCAACTGTACGACAGTACAAGTGGCTGTCGAGTAACATCCATTTTCGGAATGCGTTATGCTTGTAAAATAAAATACAGTTAGTGTCAGGTTCGTTTCAACACTTGTAGATTAATTTGTTGTGCCCTAGTTACTGGATACGCGATGAAGTTTCCCGAACTTCTGGTGAGAAGTGATGACCAACAGAATTCAGCAAGTGAGATGTGAGGACGAATATTCACCAACTACGCTGTCAAGCACTGCGAATTGACAGAAGATAGAATTGGTGGGTGGTTGGATTCCTCCCTCTAGTGTTTGTGTGGTCTACGAGCTGGCCTTGTAAGAAGAAGGTCTAGAATTCCATCCATAGTGGAGTCATACAGGCGTACTACGGAGAAGTTCACAGCAAAGATGAAACAGCCGTCCAGGACTTCTTGGTTTTCAGCGACGCGACAACTGAATTCACTTCACGGTCACTCTTGAAATCAATCAAATCCCAGCAAACCGACGCTTGAGAAATTCTTCCATATTGTAGAGGTGAATGTGGTTTGTCAATTCTAGTCCACTGTTCCTTTTGTGAATGAACTATGGAATCCTCTGTCTGTCACTATGTCCTTTATGCCTTCATTCCTCTGACATCTTTCACTTATCGGTACAACATATTTTTCTATCGTCTCTGAACCTGTTTTCGGTGCCTCAAGAGGATTTCCATCTGATCCTGTCGACTCCCCGGATGACTTTCAGTAGCTTGATTGCATTGAAGACTTCTGCTTTCGTTTTAGGATTGATATACACCGTTGTTGGTATTTCCGGTCGACTTTTTAGTGATGGTCAACTGAAGAGTCCTTCGAAGTGATCACCCCCTGCTTTTCTCTGCCCCTTCTCTTTTGTCATTATGTTCCCTTGACCATCTGTTTTTGGTTTCATCATCTGTGTTGATTTCATCTCGGATAGGCACGTTGTTGTCTGATATAATGTCCTGAGGACTGTGTTGCCTGTGGTCTTTTCTGCCTCATTTCCCAGTGTAAGCTAGAATTGTATTTTGTCTCTCCTAGCACTCTACCTCACCCTTTATTCAGCGCGGTGTACATTGAACTCAGCTTCTCCTTTGTTTTGAGCATTCGTGTACTGAGTCGTCTTTTGTCTTGCCATCCTACCCTCTTTTATTAGCTTACAGGTGTCCTTAGAGAGCTATCTCTTGTCTAGTATGTTCTTTTGTCATTAAACATATATGAACGTTTCCTCCGACATCACTTTCAGAGGGTTCCAGTGGTATTCCGAGTATTGTTTTCTCATTGATGCCAAGTAGTGTCTCTGGCTTTTCTCTGATGACTGCAGTGAACACGTCTTTTGCAGTTTCGTCCTAATAATATTCCGGAAACACTTTGTCCTTTGAAACGTAATCACATAGACAAATCAGCAGCTTCCATAGATTTTTATTTATCAAATATTTGTATATTGCGGAAAATTTTTCATTCAATTTTGTGAACACTTTTCAATCTGATGGATTGCTTATGGAAGCATTTGTCTGGTTATTTAGTAGAGTCCGACTGGCTACAGCATCGAAGATAATTCCCCCTAGATATATATGAAACAGAAAGAGTTTCAGTGTTGCGTTACCTCAGGGCTGTGTGAAGAACCACTTGAAGTTTGTCACACGTATGTCGGTATGAATGTCTTACTCATATTGCATCCCTCTCCGCCAACAATAAGACTTCACCATCAAACCCGTCACCATCGTGTGAGCACCGCACGCGAAGACAGTTTCCGCTCTTAGTCTAGCTGCCATCCAAATGAAATTTTTGGTATGATAAGACCCTCAGAAACATTCGTTGCAGCCATTGTAACTCATCGGGTCAATCATCAAGTCAAGATGGTACCTACCACCTGGAACTTTTCAACCTCCTATCTAATAATTTGATTTGATGTGTGAATAAGAAGTACCCGCAGATTTTCGTAATCAAATTTCTTGAGTATTTTATCAATACTGGCTTTCAACTCCGATCACTATGTTTGTTTAACTAAGCGTTTATCACTTAAATTTATCTTAAGTGTTTCAAATCGAAAGAACTTGGCCCGTGTTCTAAGCGACAGATACAATGTTAAGCGTGAAACTAATGACTTACTCTGTTATTAACAACATAATTTTAGGCTCTTTTATTTCTCTCTTATTTTGTATTCTTTAGTGAACTCCTTCTTCAAACATACTTAGCTGTCTAAATTATTAACATTGGCTTCCTTTTTTGTACTTTACTATATTCCTTCTATTGTGTATCCACTGGTTCCGACTCTATTAACACTATGAGTATTACAAATTTGTCCTGTCATTAACCATCATGTAATATTAGTTTTGTGGTTGTTTTTTCTTATTTTCTATACTTTTTGGCAATATTAAACTGACAATCATTGGTTGTGAACTCCATAGTCACCACCTTAAAAAATTTTGTATTATTCAGGATGACTCACACTACCATTACAAACACTGCATTAGACTTTGGTAGACTTTTGTACTTTTTCGCATTTATAATTATTTTGTGTTTATCCTGTTTTTTCTTCTTTTTTTGCTGTTGGTGTCTTCAGATTTATTTTTTTGTTTGTTTAATACTTATTTTAAATGTCTGTAAAATTAGATGCAAATATTGTAGATATGTGCTGAAAATTCCACACTGTACCACTAGTACTGTTTCTGGAATAAAGCAAATAATTATTATTATTATTATCTTTAAAAGTCCACATAGATAACAAAAAGTTATTTTTTTGCAAATTGATGATAACGTTGTTTGTATTTACGATGGGCGTTTCAAAGGTCAGTGTGGAGATAAATATATATATTTGTGCTATAAATGAGCCGAATAGATACTGTTAGCTGATCGCCTTCATACAAGTGTACACTGTTTAACGTTTTACACATTCAGGTGAGTTAAAACTTGAGTACTCTTTCAACTGAAATCGAACTTATCTCCTGTAAAACTAAGATTATATCTTGATACTTTTGACAAATGATTTCCACTTATATAACGAAACTTCTAAATAGGACAAGTAGCCTCTTTTCATGAATTTTATCATGAACAAACTATCCTTTGGGGATTGAAAATATAAGCTGATAAATGGAAAGCCTTGAATAACATTCCCACTTTTGTATGCTGAGAAGGCATTTTTCTAGTTGTCTAGTTATGAAAAGTGTCAATTGTAGTTTTAAAAATAGTTCAGTACCCAATGAAACCCTTCAATTCTCAATAGGAAATTAGCAGGAAAGTTAAAGAATTCATGGTGTCTAGCTGGCCAGTGATTTGTCATTCATCCTATGACAGGAAACACACGGAAAGAGCTCAGTTGTAAACCACCCACCTCATGATAGATTTTGTTGAGTTCATCGGTATGATTATTATTGCCCTACTCACGCTTTCCTCGATTACATTCGATTCTATTGATCCACACTGTTTCAAATATCTATCTATGACTGACAATTCATCATGTAATTGTAGTAAGTCTGATGAGAATTCAGTGGAAACACGCATTTGCTTGCTTGAATGGTGTTCTATGTTTGTTTCATACGTAACTTTTGATTTGTTGTAAATTCTCTATTTAAACTTGACATTTCGTTTTCTTTATAATTTGTGTGTTTAAAATATCCGCAGAAACTTGCGTACAATTTTAAACAAGTCAATATTGGTGATAATTTTAATAAGGTTATCATTATTATTTTTTTAAATAGAATTGTTAACTGATCCGCAGTTTTAGCCAAGATAAACACCTTACTAAATAACCCTCATGTGATTTTGATTCGTAGGTTTGTTTGATATCAATTTATGTGGTCATTATATTAGTAGGATTCAAACCTCCAGTCTCCAAAGGTCACTAGTTCGAATCTTTCTAGGAGTCATTATGTCAGTATCATTTTGCTATTCCATAGCTATTCCAGATAGTCTCACCAAACATTCTAAGCATATCTGCACATTAGCACATTCTATTGAATGCTTCGGTGGCATAGCGGTTAGGACGCTCGCCAACCATGCACACGGTCCGGTTCGATCCCCGGCCACGGACGCACTCCTTTACCTCGCTGAGCCAGAAATAATGCTGGTGAAGAGGAAAGGTTGGGCATGAGGCTAGCAACCCCATCCTATAAAATAAACACTGCTACAGAAACTTCAAGGCACTAGCTTGAAGCCCTATGTTCCACTGGGGAACGTGGAGGAAAAAAAGCATTCCAATGATTGTTTGAAATGAGTGGTTGGATAGCACTCATATCATCAACGATTAGTGGTTGCTTGTCACACTGAAGGGATCTAAATATTGAATGACTGTTTAGCTCTTTGGAGGTCAAGCTCACCAACGTTGAATCCGGTGTGACTCAGATCAGGGAGTTGAATCATTCCAAAACCAATTTAATACTGTTTATGTACTTGGGTTAACGCGAAGGCTTCACCTAGAAGATGGAAGTGCTGAAGACTGCCAACCACCACCAACAACCACAACAACACCATTCACCGATCACAATCAACGCGAGGGAACTGAAAGAGAACACTTACTTCGCTATTTAGCCAAGCAGCATCCTTTCAACTACAGGCGATAGCACGGATGTGGACATTTAAACCCGGATCGGAGAGGCAAGACAGACAGATCTTCATCACTCAGATTAGAGATATTCTCAACACTCAGCAGCATAATCAATCGAATTCGGATTTTCAGCAACACAGTCAAGTCAGTCAGATCTGTTATGTATGTGGATCGGAAACTTGGTTAGCGCATCACGAAAATCATTTCCAACAGCCATCATCTACAGACTTTCACCAATGGCCGCCTCATTCGCTGCTGGCTCCACACTGAAGATCAGAAGGCAAGAACGAACCGATAAAGAAACTTTCATCCTACAATAATGATGCAGAAAATGTAGACGGATTTGAAATGCACTGAGGAGATTGTCGGATGACATCGTGCGTCAGGCTATCTCTGGAGTGTAGCCCAAACGCGACAAGATGAGTTGGGTGTCCTATTATTACATGAAGGAGATCGTTTCAGGAGATAAGAGGCTATGGGTAGCCGTGAGATCATCAGAAGATGACAAATTGCGGATGTGTTGCTGAAGCCGTATTGTATCAGCAGAGGGCGAGACACGGAAGTCAAAGTATATTTTGAAGTGATCGAACCGCTATTTATATATGTATGCAGTTTTATATTCTCTAACCAATCATTGAGCGTGTGATTTTTGTTTACATTCAACGACGTGAAACCGAATGTTCAAATACATATACCATTCTGTTGCTAGTGCAGTATTTAACTGAAAGAGTATGTGAAAATAATATTCCGTTGGAACACACTGTCCGTATCACACCACACCCCTCTAAAGCCAAGGGAAAAACAACAATAATAATAACTTCGGCGTACCACTAATACATGGGACCAAATTCTCAATTTAAAGAAATACACGTTTCAAGGTGAAAATTCATGTTGTTCATGAGAAACCTATAACATTAATAATAGCATATACTCTTTAGTGAACGACGAAACTGTCCATATTGCTTACATGTCAGTTCACCTGGTGCCACCCAGCGAAGTTACTCAAAAATGACTGTAAGATTTTTCAGACTAAGCTAATTATTATTTCCTGATGATAATGTAACTGAAATCATCTTACTATTTCTGTTCGTTATCCGACTGTTACTACTGTGATCTGAGATGCAACTGTCATCAGTCTAAGGCTCCATCTACAATGAAAGACAACACAAAGTCTGCAGTTGTTGTTTAATATGCACCATAGGGTCGTTTAACCGAAAATTGTCTTCCTGATTGAGTTGGTGGATCTCATTCCAGCCACTTTTATTCCTTCCTGCATTATTAAGAATTCTTTGCGGTTCCTTCTTTACATGCAAGTACTACTTACTGGTGATAATTTGAATTCCTTATTGTTGGCGTTGTCATCATTTCATGCATGTTTCCCATGCATATCGTCATGAAATTGGTATTTTGTAGTTCTGTGGGATGCAGACTAGCCATTTCACCATTACTTTACGATTAGTGATCACACTGGAAATTTCAACCAGAATAAGGGAGTTTTGTTTTGTGCTAGTGTTTTCTGAGAGCTGGCTGCTAGCCAAATTGGTAGACAGTAATTTACGTCAATGCTTATATCCCCAATATGGGTCATGTGAAAACAAGATCAAAGACTGACAGCATATTTTGCGTAGGCAGATACAATTGGTAGATAGATGATCTGACAGTCAAGAAACAGCCACAAAGAGATGAAAGATTAACTCTTAGTGAGAAACAACCAATCAGAAGACTGTGTTTGTCTGCTAACAATAATCTATAATATTGTACATGAAAATCAATAAATATGTGTTGATTTCCTTAATAAACGATCTGTTGCCTAGCCCTTGTCTTCTGTCGTTACACTAGTAACTGTACCCTGAGCATCTTAATGCACCTTTCCATTAACTGTCTTAAATACCTATACAATTAGTATTTAACTGGTGGATGGTAACTAGCAGTGGAATCCAGGATGCGCATTTCGTCCTATTCGAGACTCGTCATCTGGATAAATCTGCATTTGTCAGTGAGTGATGATGTTCCCACCGAGGCTCGAACCCAGTGCCCATAGTTTCAAACGCCAAAGCGTTATCCACTAGACCACTTGGGCCACGAGAGCCACCTCTTGTGCCACGGATCATATTGATTTAATTGAATTTCAGATTTTCCCGTCGATTGATTGGACCAAAGTGCTCGGTCTCAGGTTGGCATGTCGGCTTCTTAAGCAGATGCTTCGACGATGTCTGGGCATTTAATTAGTATTTAATTGGTGGATGGTGACTAGCAGTGGAATCCAGGATAACGTGCATTTCGTCCTATTTGGGACAATTAAATACTAATTAAATGCCCAGACATCGTCGAAGCATCTGCACAAGAAGCCAACATGTCAACCTGAGACCGAGCACCTCGGTCCAATCAATCGACGGGAAAATCTAAAATCCAATTATACCCATACAACTATTTTCATACTTCCATATTTATTTGTGAATAGAATTAGGTGAAAATGTGTGTAGCGTTTCCGAGTCTCAGAGAAGTCATACAAAGTTATTGTGATATTAACCAATTTCAAAAATAATGCCTTCTACACTGAAGGTTATCAAAAATGTATCCACGTGTTTTCAAACACTAATCAAATGACTAAAACAAATTGAACATTGTACATTTAACGTCTATTTCTTTGAAAGTGTGTTCAAGTTTGACACCGTTTGCCTTTTATATTTTCTCATTTTTATGTCATTTCAGAGAAATGCTTAAATCTCTAATCTCCTTCAGCACTATAAGCACTGTCACAATCTTATTAGTATTGTTGTTATGTGAAGGAAGTCGCGCGGATACACCAGCCAACTGTACTTATTCGGATGCAATTGGTCATTGGGTATTTTATGTAGGCGATTACCAGTCGAAATGCTCCAGTAAATGTGAGTACTATTCTGATGATACTAATTTTCTACTTGTCAATTGTAGTTAAGCATAAAAATGTTGTGACTATGCACCTACAGTATCCAGATATTGTTACTGATTCCTATGGAAATATGGGGAAATGGACTATGATATATAATCAGGTAATGTTCTCATATATGCAATACACGATTTGTATTCATTTCTGACATAAAAGGGCTTCGAAATTATTATCAATCATAGAAAATGGTTAGTTATGTTTCACTATGAGAAGAAATCCAAATTTAATTGTCATCAATCTATGCCTATGTGGACACATGATACACTAATACGTCAATGGTATTGCTTCACTGCTTTCAAACATGGTAAGACTGAAAGGTGAGTGTTATTATTATCATCACTATTATTGATTTTGGATGTGCATTTGTGCGTGTTTCTATGCATGCATGCATGCATGAATGCATGTCTTCTGCTGCTGCTTAACTGACATACACTTTTGCAGATTCAGTGTTTACAGAGGTTTTAATAAATTTACAAATGGAAACAAATTTTCCATATTAGTTTGTTTATTAGATATATCACACAGTCAGTGAAACAGTATTATTTACTGGATGACACAGTTTCGAACAAAATGCATTGTTCATAATCATATCAATCAGTTATGATCACACGACTTTGACACTTGACTTTTATAGCATTCTTTGTTTTCTCCTATTTGTCGTCGTAGTGGTAGTAGAATTTTCCAGATATCGGGGACAGGTGACGAATCATTCCTATTACATGTATTTGCAGTTGATTCGATAAACAAAGCCTGTGTTATCAATCTCTTCCTCCACTCTGCTTTTACATTAGATTTTAAAACTGTCATCCTATCCCATCCTATTGCATGGTTGTGTGTGACTGCATGTAGTGAGTGCTACAGCTGAACTATTCTCTAGATTTCTTATCTTATTCGGGTCAACCAATCTAGATTTTGCTGCTAGGTTTTTATGTTCAGCTAGTCTGACTGCCCCTGTTCTACTAGTTTGACCTATGTATTTGACCTGACAATCATTCCAGCAGGGTATGAGATAAACTAAATTGTTTTGTTTTAAAGGCTCCACAGGATTTTTCCTTTAACCGACAAGCTTGTTTCTAATTGAGTTTGTGTTTGGTTTGAATGCCAATCACTTTTATTCCTGACTTGTTAAGAATTCTGCGTAAGCTGGTTCCGAGGTTCTTTCCTTGTATGGAATTACTACTGATGATTTAGACTCTTTATTGTTGGTGTCGTCATCAATATTATTATTATTATCATCACTATTATTATTATCATTATTATTGTTAGTATCACTATCGGTACTATCATTATTTATTTTATTTTTACATTTCCTTACATATTTCCTGACTAATTTATCCGGATAATTATTAAGTTTCAAGGCTTCTTTTATGTGTATCAGTTCCTGTTTTAGATTTTCTATCGTACTACTTAGTTTTCGTGCTCTGTCATTTAAACATTTCACCAATCCTATTTTTACTGACATAGGAAGGGATGATCGGAAGTCCAAATATCTGTTTGAGTGTGTGGGTTTCCTGTAAACACTAGTGTTTACCTTCCCATCTCCTTTCCTCTTTACGTTGCAATCTAACATTAGGAGCTCCCCTTCCTGATTTTCCAATTCATCATAGGTGAATTGAATTGCTTCAACCTTCGAGTTGATGTGTTCGAAAAACCTATCTATATCTTGTGTTCTCAGTACAGTGAATGTGTCATCTACATACCTCCACCATACTTTTGGGGTGGGGGTGAACGTTTCAATCGCTATGCTTTCCCACTTATCCATGAATATATCTGCTACTACTGGGGATATTGGTGATCCCATGGCAACTCCCTCAGTTTGTTTGTATATACATTTAATAGGAATGATTCATCACCTCTCCCAGATATATTGAAAATTCTACTACCTCTACGACAAATAGGAGAAAACAAAGAATGCTATAAAACTCAAGTTTCGAAGTCGTGTGATCACAATTGATATGATTATGAACAATGAATTTTGTTCGAAACCTTGTCATCCAGTAAATAATACTGTTTCACTGACTGCGTGATACATCTAATAAACAAACTAATATGGAATTACTTACTAACACAGTGCCCAAGTTTTACACATATAATAATGCAACCAATATTATTTAGATAGTTATTGAAAGTTGAGGTATTTGTCAGGTAATTTGATGATACTGCCTGCGTTCAGTCTGTGGTTGGATCATCAGTGTGCACTGTCGACAAGTCACGAACTGGAACGGAGAGTGGTATCCATTGTTCCTTGGATGTGATTTGGTTTCTGTTGTACTACTTGTAAGATCATGATATCTAGTGATTCTGAGGGGAGGAAGAAAGTTTACAACACCAGTTAGTGAATCATCTGTCCAACTTTGTAAACTACGAAATACACAAAAGACAGACATATCTTCCACACATTTATTCCCCTTTCAACGAATTTGAATAAAGCATGAATGACAGTGGTTTGTGTAGAATGAGATGGTACCATCATTTATTTCGTTATCTCCTCCTCATCAGCTCACGCCAGGCTAAAAGATTATTATTATTATTATTATTGTATCCTTTAATTCCTATAGGAACATAGGGCTTCAGCCGTGCGTCTCCATTGCGTTCGGTTCTCTGCTAGAGTCTTCACCTGGCTCCATGTCTGCCCACACGTTTTCATCTCCTCTTCACATGACCTCCTCCAAGTCACCCTCGCATTGACGACCAACTCGCCCCTTCCCTTTCGGGTTCCACTCGAGCAATGGCTTGTCTAGTGATGTCACTTGATGGTTTCCTCAGAGTATGGCCAATCCATCTCCACTTCTTCCTGCCTATTTGTTTCACAATCGGTTCCTGCTGAGTTGGTTCGCTCCCAAAGATCCCTGTTGCTGATCTTCTCTGGCTGGCCATCTGATCTTGAGTACTGAGCGAAGACAACTGTTGATGAAGGTCTGTAGTTTGTTTGAGATGCTCTTTATGACGCGCAGTGCAAGTCTCTGATCCGTATAGTAGCACTGACTTCACATTGGAGTTGAAAATTCGGATCTTATTTTCAATTTCATGCTGAGTGCTGTTAACCTCCACACATACTTGAGAGTAGTGAAAGCTTCTCTTGCTTTTCCTATCCTCGCTGCTTTGATACCCTCGTCAGTTCCATCCGCCTGTAGTTGAAACGATGCTTCCCAGGTAGGTAAAAAATTTTGTTTCTTTCAGGTTCCTCCCATTTATGCTGATTGTTGTCAGTTGTTGTTGTTGCTGTTGGTGATGTTGCCCAGGAATCTTCATCACCTCTGTTTTCTCTATGTTCACCTGAAGTCCTATCTTCTCTGGATGCTTCTTCTGCTAACTTGTTGCTTTTCGCTTGCATATCTTCCAGTTTGTGGGAAATCAAGGCTAAAAGATATTATGAAGTTATGCAGAACAATTTTTAAAATCTTGCACATGTTACATGATGCTAGTTGACACGAGGCTGCAGGCTTAATTAACGGTGCTCAGATAATCATGCTCAAATAATCTTTTCTCTCAGAGTTCAAGTTCAAACAAATTTTGCCAAAGCATCCGCTATCAAATGCCTGAAACCTGATTTATGTGTTCACAGAGAATCAATTATCAGTCCTCTCTATCTCTGGTAACTGGATGTCTCTACTCTCCCTCTATCCCTCTATCTCGTTCATTTGATTACGTACTTTGCGGCTTTATTTATCTCCTCCATTTATACACTGGGACTTTACTTGTCTCTTCATTTATAAGTTGGACTGGATTCACCGTACTACTACTACTACTACTAAATGTTTCACCAACACGTCGTCTTTCTCACCTCACGTCTTTATCACGTAACTTCGTAAACATTACATGCAAACATTTATTTTTGTCTAAACTTGCACTGTCCATTAGGTTTGGCGCCTCCTGCAATTAATTGACACCATGTAACATTTGCAAGTATATTAAAATTGTTCTGCATACATACTCAATAATTGGAAACATTTATTTCCCGATACGAATTTAAAACAAGCAGTAAAGGTTAATAAAGCAGGATTTATTGAATTCATCAAATTTCAGTAGATCTCATCAGCTGAATACTCTACATACACGGATATATATACTTTTGAAATTACATTGGGAGATATAGGACTGATAAGTAAACAAACTACATTGAATTAGTCATGCAGAAAGACAGGTGCGAATGTTTTTCCAGGTCATGTTCAAATAGATAAGGGGAAAGAGAGTATGGGAGATCAAAATTAAGATAAATTACATTACGCTTCAATTACATCACTTAGATAAGCAATTAGACATTAGAGAATTTAACAAGAATTGCAACCAGAGGGATGTCAATAGTAATAGTTATAATAACAATAATATAATATAACAATAATAATAATAGTGTTGAAGTGAGTTAAGATAATGCTACTGATAAAGGATAGTTTTAAATGAATCAAGAATAATAATAATGAGAATAATAATAAGAGGTAGAATTATAAGTAAAACGTATTACCATGGTAGATTCAGAGTCACGACCACCTCCTTTTGTACACAGAGACCTGGTTTTTAAACTCCCATTGCACAAGCCTCTGCAATTGCAAGCACCTTCTTGTTTCTTTGTCTGCTGACAATAGTGAATGACTTGACCGCGTCGATATCATGTCCATAATCCACAAGATGCTTTGTTATTGAGGATTTCGGCACTTTGCACTCAGCTATTTTCAACCATTTTGGCAAATGCTCCATCATGTGAGTAGACAATCTCCTTTCCGTACGACCTATGTATTTGCTTCCACAAACACACTCAAATTGATATACGCACTTTGAAGTGTCGAGGATTGGCGACTGGTCTTTCCCAGATTGTTGAAGCACTCGCTTAGTGGTGTTAAGGAAAACAAGTTTTGCAGCAAAATAAGTTCAAGTGATGGCTTTGTCGAGTCTTCGTTTGACCACTTCCTGTACATCATCTCCTTTGAACGGCAAACTGATATAGACAGGTTTCTTCGGAACTGTTTGGATTGTTTAGCAGGGGCTGCTTTCTTCAGAGTATTTATTAATGAACTTCTCAGGATATCCATTCTTAGATAAAATATCCTTCAGGGATTTTATTTCATGCTCAACAGTACTGTCAGAACAAATTTTTCGTGCTCTATTGAACAGTGTTCTGACTAAGTTCTTTTTATACTGGATTGGAACAAAACTCTTCAAATGCATGTACTGTCCTGTCCATGAAGACTTTCTAAATATAGATCTTTCGATTGCGTCATCATTCATTTTCGCCAGAAAAACGTCTAGGAATTTAATAGTATCGTTTTCCTCGTGTTCTACTGTGAAACTGAGATTTGGATGGCATGAGTTAAATTTTATCAGCATATCTTCGGTCTTTGATCTGCTCCCACAGGTAATAAAAATGTCATCAACATATCTTAGGTATAGATCCGTTTCTTGTATATGTTACTGCAAGGTACCGGTTTCTAGGCGTGACAAGAATAAGTCAGCGAAAAGTGGTCCCAAAGGACTTCCCATTGCGACACCATCAACTTGACGGAATAAATGCCCGTCGAATTGGAATTGGACTTTTTTAGTACATAAAAGTAGCAATTTCCTCAATTCCGACGTTGGAATGGGTATGTCTTCAGCTTCTTTACATACTTCATACTCAATAATTTGATTAGGCTGTAGGCAGCTGATGACGACGAAGAGGCAGCGAAATAATTGATTGTAGCATCTTATTTAACACAAATCTCTGTTGTTCTTCTTTTATTCAAAGGCATATCTACCAGTATAAGCCAACCACTTCTATTTCAGAAGTCACTACCTGGAAATTTATGACTTTAGTGTTACGCTCAGCAGAGTGAGACATTTCAACACCGGTCAAAAAGTATGAGTTGATTTCTATTAGGCTAGTTGGTATGTGTAAAGCTGTCTCATTTAAAGCGGAGGTGGAGGCTTTGTTGTTCACCCGTGAATCGATGAGAATTTGAAACCACCGGACAGCTTCGTCAGTCTACTTTGCGATTTGTTGACTATCACAACGCAGATGCACGTTCAATCGAATGCGTTGTACAGAATTATCTCTCTCTCTCAACTGAGTCGAACCGCGTAACCAGCTTGTCAGATTCGTCCTGAACTAGCAGAACGGCCGTCTGGTGTCTAGATCGCTTGCATCTGATTAGCGGACACTACTGATTGGTGTAAGCGATATCCGACTACTCACGTCAGCCAATCAGTAGTATTTAACATTATGAATTTGTTTCCACCTTCTTGATCACCTCCTAAGGTCTCCAACAGATCATAAATTGTCATCGGAACAATTTCGCTCTGACTTTGAACTGTGTAAACTAAAAATCGTGAATTCATCTGCGAGTCCCATTCAAAGGTATTTGTGATTTTGTAGTGATTTATTCTAATCGACACCTTTGTGTGAGCATAAAAGTTGAAACCAAACCAATCGAATAAGTCTCCCATTTCAGCGAAACATGTTGTCATTTCATTTCTCCCTTCTATTTGCAGCCAACTGAATTACACACTGTCTGATGAAGAAATTGACGAAAACATAAAAATGTACCCAGTTGATCCCACCTTTGTGGATGAAATCAATAGACAACAGAACTCTTGGAGAGCAAAACTGTATCCAGAATATTCAAATTATACAATTGAAGAAATGAGACGTCGAGTTGGTGGAGCAGCGTCTGTATATTCAAGGTAATGAAAGTTGTAATTTTCCACTAAATATTCAGAATCTTGATACGTGGAGTGTCATACTAATTTGAAATAAATGACAATATTACTAAGAGGAGCTATAATAGCGCGCATTGTTCATAAAAGTGGCACGACTAGGCCCCTCTCTCTGTCTCTCAGGTAGACGAAATCGACCGACTAATCTCGTGAACCTATCTGCATTAGTAAAGATCTAGTTACAAGTCTGCACGCGTCTCCTGCTAGTACAGTGCATATGTCTTGTTATGAATGTCCCACACTGCCAAAAACTCTCTCACTTCAGTATTGAATCATACCGGCTTGGATCTTGACGAGATAACAAATTTGCTTCAATGATGGTAACAATAAAGGCATGAAACTCAAATTGTTAATGGAGTTTCCAACCAACTGACTCCTTGTTAACTCTTCTGTAGGGCTCGTTTATTAGATAAGTCAATGGGTAAATAATCACTTCTACCGGAGAATCGGCTAACCAAGTGTATCATCTCCTTGCATAACCACCTCACTTATACCTCTTAGTGTCAGGATAAATGTTTATAATACACGTGATGATATATATGCTTAGAAAGTGCACACTGAAATTACCGATTGAGATGTTGTTCACAAGGGTAAGAAAAGCTTAGAGAGCATAGAGAAATCAAAAGCACACTCGGTGAAGCTACTAATTTTCTCTACTCTTTCTCGATTAAATATAAGTGATTTACTTTGGAATTTGATCTGATGAGTTCTCGAAAAACTCAAATTTTTTCCTGAGGTTCATTTACTAATGCAACGAGCCTACCCAACATATATATATATGTATATATAAAAAACTGTGTAGTCCTCCTTTTATAGTTTGTTCTGCTTTTCAGCTGTTATCTTATCGAATGAATTTATTGCCATCTCTATGTTGGCAATGACAAAAAGCCCGGGCTGCTTTCGATAACTTACACCATCTCTGGCGTGGCGTGACATCCGGTTATCAACCAAGGGACGTGTGTACTGCTCAGCAGTTCGCTCCGTCCTTCTCTATGGTGGTGAGACGTGGCCACTGAGAGCGGAAGACATGAAGAGGTTGACTGTTTTTGATCATAGATGTCTACGATCTCTTTCTCACGTTAGGTGGTATAATAAGGTAAGTAATGTTGACGTTAGGCGTAGAGTGTTGGGCAAAGAGGGAAAATCAATCGAAGAGGCTATAAAGTTACATAGATTGAGATGGCTAGGTCACGTGCTGCGCATGTCTAATCATCACCTCCCCCGACGGGCATAACTAGCTAGCTGATATAGGTGCAGGTTGGAAAAGAGTAAGTGGTGGCCAAACAAAAACATGGCATCAATCAATCCATGAAATCCCTGACAGTTAAACTGAGTCAGGTAGGAAGATGCAGACTTCCGGGTTGGGGCCCGCCCTCGGGACTCTAAGAATCAATGGCTGGAGACAATAGGTGACATGGCTCAAAATCGTTGTCAATGGCTTACGCAGATGTATTCAGTCTCTGTAATCTTTCACATTCCTTTCTACCATTACTCATTCTGTTTCACTCCTATACTTGTCAAAACTCTATTGATTCTCTCCACTCATTTTCTTGTCTACCTTTGTGTGCTATTTGGAACATGGCAACTCGAACTGCTGCACTTCAGTGCCAAGTTCTATGTTGAATCCAGCCAGCCAGCCAATGACAACCTCTGTCTCCAATTTACTTTGTGTTACGTCGAAGTTTTGTACCTTGACCCGCCGATTTATCTCACTCCAGCTTAGTTCTCTTGCTGACAGGTTGAAAGGGTGAAATCACTTTTCTTTTTTCGGCCATCAGTAATGACAGTTACAAGTCATTATTACACTTCGGAATCGCTATGGAATTACCAGCGGTTTACGAAAAGGAATTGAAGATTATCTTAAGTGCTTTGATGCGCAGAGTTTTTCAAGTCGGTCAGGTTTCGGCACACTTTACTATTGTAATTGTGCAATAAGTACACTGTATACTAAGAGTACTGACATTTTTCTGTTATATGACAAACTCTGATGACTACCAACAGATCATTTTTCATGTCACTTCTTTCAAAAGCACGAAAGAAGGTTCAGGTTTAATTAATTCAACAGTACTCCTAACCTCAAGATCGAAGATTTTTCTCTTCAGCCTTAGATGTGATCGCCTTCACATAAAATTATCTGACTGTTTGATTGCAAAGGCAGAGAAAGTGTTACTTTAAATGGCTTCACAATCATGCCTTAAATTGTTAAACAATTTCGTACAAAATATATAGTTTTCAACAACCAATGTCCACCTCTATTAACATTGCAGTTTGTCAAGGAACTTAACCCTGAGTTGTTATGATTTGCGGAGACGTTCAGAATCGACAACTATTAAGTATGAATATCGAATTGAACTCCAAAACACACAAGGACTTGTATACAGAGTCTATAAACAAGTGTTTTACAAATAATGTATAGTACTTTTATTCGTATTCTTTCGTCTTCTTTCAACTTGTACACGATTGAACCATTCACTGCTTCGAGTTGCCCGCCAATGCCTACTAAGGTCAGTGGACCAATGTTCAATGTTCGTATTCCTTAACACAGTTTAATCTAATTTTGTCCAAAGAGGATAATGCAGATATTAATAATAACAATAAGAAGTACAGAATACGGTAATAAAAAATTAGTTCCTCAACAAACATACGCTTCAGTTGCATTCACAATCTGATTAACAGAATGCAAACATTGGAAATGAATGTAATGTGTAGTGTTAATTTATCTAATTTCTTCCAAATATCATGATATACGTGGTTTCAAATGACCTCCTGTTTTACATCACTGGTTCAATGATAGAATGATCGTCGACCAGGCGGGAAGTTCAAGTGTGTGATTGCCGGAAGACACAGAACTTAACACATTACCAAAAACATATAGTGAACACAGAAAAGAGGATAGGTTGAGTCTGATGCTGGCAGCGTCACTCCACATAGCGCGACACCACTGATTCTAAAAGTTTAAGTAAGAGAAGCTTGAAGACCGTCGCTATTCTAGAAACTCAAGGAATGAAAAACAGATAGAACTTAATACATGTGTAAAACTTGGGCACTGTGTTAGTAAGTAATTCCATATTAGTTTGTTTATTAGATGTATCACACAGTCAGTGAAACAGTATTATTATTTACTGGATGACAAGGTTTCGAACAAAATTCATTGTTCATAATCATATCAATTGTAATCACACGACTTTGACACTTGAGTTTTATAGCTTTCTTTGTTTTCTCCTATTTGTCGTAGAGATAGTAGAATTTTCCAGATATTGGGGACAGGTGACGAATCATTCCTATTACATGTATTTGCAGTTGATTCGATAAACAAAGCCTGTGTTATCAATCTCTTCCTCCACTCTGCTTTTACATTAGATTTTAAAACTGTCATCCTATCCCATCCTATTGTATGGTTGTGTGTGACTGCATGTAGTGAGTGCTACAGCTGAACTGTTCTCTAGATTTCTTATCTTATTCGGGTCAACCAATCTAGATTTTGCTGCTAGGTTTTTATGTTCAGCTAGTCTGAATGCCTCTGTTCTACTAGTTTGACCTATGTATTTGACCTGACAATCATTCCAGCAGGGTATTAGATAAACTAAATTGCTTCGTTTTAAAGGCTCTACAGGATCCTTTAACCGACAAGCTTGTTTCTAATTGAGTTTGTGTTTGGTTTGAATACCAGCCAGTTTTATTCCTGACTTGTTAAGAATTCTGCGTAAGCTGGTTCCGAGGTTCCTTCCTTGTATGGAATTACTACTGATGATTTAGATTCTTTATTGTTGGTGTCGTCATTAATATTATTATTATTATTATCACTATTATTATTACCATTATTATTGTTATTACCACTATCGCTACTATCATTATTTATTTTATTTTTACATTTCCTTACATATTTCCTGACTAATTTATCCGGATAATTATTAAGTTTCAAGGCTTCTTTTATGTGTATCAGTTCCTGTTTTAGATTTTCTATCGTACTACTTAGTTTTTGTGCTCTGTCATTTAAACATTTCACCAATCCTATTTTTACTGACATAGGAAGGGATGATCGGAAGTCCAAATATCTGTTTGAGTGTGTGGGTTTCCTGTAAACACTAGTGTTTACCTTCCCATCTCCTTTCCTCTTTACGTTGCAATCTAACATTGGGAGCTCCCCTTCCTGATTTTCCAATTCATCATAGGTGAATTGAATTGCTTCAACCTTCGAGTTGATGTGTTCGAAAAACCTATCTAGAACTTCTCTGTCATATTTTTTAATGCCTTGCCAGAATGTGGGAGACAGATCAGTTGGGACAAAACAGAAATATTGATTTATTTTAAGTACACACAGACTGGTTTCATATTGAACTCCACATCATGTTTGCTTCGAAGATTTAATAATCTGTCCTTTTTTAAAAAGGTTCGTTTCAAATTCCGAAAATGCATTTTCCCGTATTCAACTCATTTTACCACAATCAGTAACCAACACATTTGAACAGTCACCATTTAAGAACAATTCAGAGTGCACTGTGACAGTGAAGTTAGCCACCCAGCATGCTGGTCACAGTGCAGACTTGACTGAAAGAATTCAGTCTGCACAAAAGAAGAGGAAGGACTGCACGAATGACAATGATCACTTATCGCCTATTGTTCAATCAGAGTATCTAATATGCTCCTACAGGAGATCATTCACCAGCCCGAATACTTCATTGGTAACGTCTGACCGCAGAATTGGTTGGCGCAGTTCCGAATCTCAGAAGGGACATGTGCCCTTTGAATGTCATCCAACAAACACGGAACCCAGCTTGAAGGTTTCCTCCTGCCAACTACCTCCAGTCATCTATTAATAACAATTCAGGGAGCGTTGTAATGGAGAGCTACACACAAAATAGTGGTCACATTGCAAACTTGTCTGATAGAATTCAGTCTGCACAAAAAACAAGAAGGGCGATGTGCATGATAGTGGTTCCACCAATGCTTCATAACTACTTTATGATTTATCATAATTGGCGAGAGAGTTGAACTCCATAACTGTAGGATAGCGATTTCAAATGGACGACGGATAGATAGGTAGACAGATGGACAGATCACACTGTATCACTCTGATGAAGTTGTGGTGGGTGAATCGCCGACTGTATTCAAAATAAAAAATATATAGGCATCGCAAAGCTGTAAACTATTCATCAATGGATTCCACTTTTCACACTTTTTAACGAATGTTATCCTCGTCAAGCTATTGTATGCCCGGCTGTGTATGTATGGATTTTTCAAGATTAACAGCTGAATGTCAACAACTGATACTGTGAGAAACGTTTGTAGTTATTTTCAACACAATGAATGCATCAAATAACTATAAAAAATTTCGTATTAGTACAAAAGGAACCGTATCTATAGCACAGAACTAATGGGATAACTTATTTGGTAACTCTTAGGAAGGTTGTACTAACTTCTTGGTTATGCACATGCGACAAATCTTCCAGCGGTTTCTCAACTTAAATCAACTACATTCCGTTTATAATAAAACTCATTCAAGACTGATTTCGTCACTAATTAATGTGATATAGAGAACGACGTTAAGCACTTGAGAGCGTCGGACAACTGTTTCGTGTTGGTTTGATGCTCTTTATCAGCAGACGCCTACGATCCCACAAGAAATGGCACATAGCATTTAAAAATAGTAAATTATTTCATCTCACTGAAGCATGCTTCAGTGTGTAATAACTGTGAAATTTAATGTTCTTGAATTCTAAATTTCAGACTATCATTGTTACTAGTGTAAACTGCCTGCCATTTTGAAGACTGTGATTTGAGTTTTGATTCCTGGCCAACGAACGTCTAAATCACTGTTATCGAAATTTCACATCTGTAGCCTAAAGCCTTTTGTGCCACTCGGAACGCCAAGGGAGTATTACACAGATAGAGTTTGTGCTGTCATGTGTATTCAATGCATAGCATATATCTTATATTAGATGGTTGGAGGCAATCGACCACAGGAAGCCTTGGGCCTAGGTTTCGTGCTAGTTAGCACTCATCAGCAAGGCGTATCTGCAACCTTGAAGGAACTGATGTCCCTTCTGAGATTCGAACACGCGTCACCCAGTGCTGCAGTCAGAGACGTTACCACTGAGCTATTCAGGCTTGCGACTGACCTCCTGTAGGACTGTATTGGATATTTTTGATTGCACACTAGTCAGCAACTAGTGTAATGTGTCTAGTCCTATTTTCGGTGCAGACTGAATCCTATCAGTCATGTTTGCAATGTGGCCACCATGCTAGGTGGCTCACCATTACTCACCATTACTCACCAGCACTGGATGACGCGTGTTCGAATCTCAGAAGGGACATCAGTTCCTTCAAGGTTGCAGATACGCCTTGCTGATGAGTGCCAACTAGCACGAAACCTAGGTCCAAGGCTTCCTGCCGATTGCCTCCAACCATCTAATACCAACAATTCACAGTGCACCGTAATGGCGAGCCACCTAGCATGGTGGCCACATTGCAAACATGACTGATAGAATTCAGTCTGCACCGAAGATAGGACTAGACACATTACACTAGTTGCTGACTAGTGTGCAATCAAAAATACATATCTTATACTATGAATCGTATCTCACGGTAAATGAAATAATAATACAGAATTGAAGTACTCATTTTCTTTCATTTCTCTTTCGCTTCAGATCATCATCCATACGTGAACTAAAGAAGGATCTTACAGCGGAAATGATATCAGCTATTCAACGCTTACCTAGTGAATTCGATTGGCTCCATCCACCTAAAGGTCTCCGTAGTCCAGTAACGCCTGTTCGTAGTCAAGGCAATTGTGGTAGTTGTTATGCATTTGCATCGACTGCTGCAGTTGAGGCTCGTTTGCGTTTAGTGAGTAATTTCACGCTTCAACCTATTCTATCACCTCAAGATATCCTGGACTGTAGTCCATATTCACAAGGTAAAATAAGAAATCAATAATTATAATGCAAGTACATATGTTATTCGATTATTTATTTATTCTACCATAATTATCATTATGATTATATTATTATTATCGTCATTATTTCCTTCGGTCCCAATTGGAACATCGGGCACCAACAGGACGCCTCCATTTTGTCCTGTTTTTCAAAGGCTTCTTCGGCTGGCTCCACGATTTCTCATTGGCTTTCACTTGCACATCTTGCGAATCTCCTCCAGATCACTGTCAGACACCAAACTCGTCATTTCCCACTCAGGTTCCATTTGACTAGTGGCCTGACGAGAGATGTCACTCAGCCTCCTCTTAAGACTGTCCGACACACCTTCATTTCCTTCTTAATATTTTTTGACTAGTAGGCTCTTGGCTCGATCGTTTCAGAGTTTCTTGTTTCTAATTATTTGTGACTGGCCATCTTATCCTCTCTATGGAACCAGAGAAGGGCATATCTGTTGATAAAATTTTCCACTCGGCTGTTTGAAATGCTTCTGTTGACACGCTGGCCAAGTTTCTGACTCATATAGACGAAGTGACTGACTCTACATCGGTTAAAACGATGATGCCTGGCTAGGAGAGTAAAGTAAGTAGTATTTCTCAAATTTCCCCATTTGATGGTGATTAGTGCTTGTTGTTGTTGTTGTCATTGTTGGTTGGCTGTCTTCATCACTTCCGTCTTCTTTAAGTTTCCTGTTCAGTGTCCAGTCTCAGTAGCTTCTGTCAGCTGGTTGATTTTCGTCTGTAATTCTTCGAGGTTATGTGACATGAGACATAAATCATCCGGGAAGTCTACATTTCCTAAGTGTCAGACTTATTCACGCACGAAGTGCTGCATAATCCAGTCCACCGCAATTCGGAATATCATCAGTGATACTTAGCTAACATCCTGGTTCAGTCCTTCCTCTATTCGCCTCAAAGGCTTCGCTGAGATCGGCGTTGTGTATCATTTGACAATTGAGATTGTCAAGTAATTATTGAATGACGTTAACAAAGATTCGGGGCACTATATTCCATTGTGTTGAAGTCGATTTCAGATTAAGGAAAGCCGTCAACGCTATCGAAGGCGATCAAAAAATAAATAAATAACTCAAATAACATAAATTCATAGAAAATGTTATAATAATAATCATAATAATAATAATTTGCTTTATTCCAAAACAGTACTTGTGATACAGAATGGAATTCTCAGCATGTTTACTACAGTACTGCATCCAGTTAGTACATTATCAAAAAAGTAGAATTCTACATAGATTAAGGAAATCTCAGTTCATTATTACAACAACACATTAGCATGTCGGTAGCAAAGGTAAAGCTGAAACAGTGTTTGAAGGTGTTAGAAAAGTAGGAGCTATCATATTTACTGGCGTAAGCGAGAGAAAGAAACAAAGCAGCACATAACGGAACAAGAGAGAGAGAGAGAGAAAAGGAAAAGAAACAAAGAAAATGTTGTACCTATTGATGATGTGGGTTGGAAAGACGAGATCCAGTTGTACTACTGACTAATTAATGAATTATAGGTGTCACGCCTAACGCTTTCTTTATCACACGAAACACGAGCTAAGTAGGGTATGGTTGAGTTTTTGTACTTGCTGGTTCGAGCATATAGTTTTCTATATAGGCTTCTGGTCCTGCCTGATGAGATGCAAGGGGAGAGTTGTGAGTGAAGAGGGTGTGGTGTGAGTTAGATAAAATGGACTTGGCCCATTTTTCACATGAGTCCATGTGCCTGTCGACCAGAATATTACCAAGCTGGCTAACTGGTACGTTGCTTACCCTGCTGACAACATTTAACATCCTGCATCATATGATGTTATAGTCTTTCTTCAGTAGCCCGGGAAAAACTAAGGGGGAACAATAGAGAATAATAGGCAGGATGCGATAATTAACGAATTGTAGGAGTAAGGATTGGGTCGGGTTATACCAGAATGTTTTAACTTCTTAATGTAGAAGGTAAGACGGAATATTTTCTCAGAAATCGCTAAGATATGAAACGACCAGGAGAGATCAGCAGATAGAATGACACCTAGGTATTTAATTTCCGATTTCGTTTCTATTTCAGTGCCGTCTATGTTGCATACCTCATGAGAGCCAACCAGTTTGTTTAGGTCGGATTTATGCCTAAAGGTGAAATTGACTGTTTGGCATTTGGAGGGGTTTAGGGTAAGACCATTTTCCTTGGACCACTGGCTGATTTCTGACAGAAAGCCATTGAGTTTGGAGCAGTCGCTTTGACATTTGACAGGCAATTTTAAATTAACACAAGCTTAATTTGCTTCTTTTAGGTTGTGATGGAGGCTTTCCTTATTTAATCGCCGGCAAATATGCTGAAGACTTCGGCATGGTTACGGAGAAGTGCAATCCATATACTGAAAAACAAAGAAGTCAATGTAAAACAAGTAAACATTGTGAACGATACTATACAACCAACTATGCCTATCTTGGTGGTTATTATGGTGCAACAAATGAAGAAATCATGAGATTGGAATTAGTTCAGAATGGACCATTTCCTGTTGCATTTGAAGTGTATAAGGATTTTTTGTTTTATGAATCAGGTGTATACCGACATACAAAAATTGAAGTGAGTATTTTTGTCGAGTGTGTAGAGAAAGTGTGAAAGTAATGAGAGGAATATTTGCAGTGAACACATGTTGAATTCAATTTGATTTGTTGCAAGTTTCACCGTTGACTGAAACGCTGAGGACCAGGGAGTACTGGATAGAGCTACTTTGTTCCGACTTGCACTCACCGGAAATTGAGCGCTCACCACACTCACCACGGGTTTGAACCCAACACCTACCGATAACAAGGAGAGTTTGTAGTCTATTCAGCTACTGGGTGGGAACCAACTCACGGATCCACCCATGAATTCCAACTTTTATATAAAAGAAAAAAGGCGTTCAGCGAAGAGACTCTTTTCGGCGATTTCATTCACTGAGCTGTATAATCGCATATTTATACAATTTTGTTTGTGTGTGTGTACATTAGATTTAAAAAGTTTAGATAATTATGTAATATAAGTATTATTTGGCTTGGAGACAAACTTTAAGATGGAAAATAAAATAGAATTGATTAAGTGAACTGGATGAGGTAATACAGTTGAGTAGAATTCAGATTAGGTCAGGTTGGCAACAGCGTTAATGAGTGGTGTTTAAAATCAAATAAGGGTGGGGTTAGAGAATAATACAGCTGAAAATAAGTAAGTTAATCGGATGACGTAACACAGTTGACTAGAAATTGGACGTGGGTCAAGTTAGTAACATTATTAATGAGGGTAGAGATTACAAAAGGGTGGGGTAGAGAATAATATAAATGAAGATGTGAAATAATAAAATGCAAGAGACAAAATATTACAGTTAGTAAGACTAAAATTGAGAAATATTACGTCTATTGTAGATTTAATGAATGAACGAATTTCTTTTGTATGCAGAGTTCAGGATTTAGCAGATGAACTGCCATTGCTTCTGCGATGTGCAGAAGTTTGATCCGTACACTTTTAGCAAAATTGCCTTGTATTCTGTAGATAACTTTGAAGTTTATTTCTGGTTTGACTTGGTGTCCAGAATCGATCAAATGTTCAAGGATCGAGCTGCGGGGGCATCGGTTTTCTCCTTTATAAAACCATGAAGGCTAATGTTCGTTGACGCGTTTGGTTAGCGAATGCTGAGTACGGCCGATATACCTGGCTCCACACGAGCAGGTGAATTGGTAGATGCACATAGATGAGGCCAACAGCGGTAGCTTATCCTTCACGTTCATACGAATCATTGGTCTCGTGGACTTTTACGAATTCGTGATTTTAGCGCACCCACCAGCCAATCAGTCTCAAACTAGAATGAAACAGCTGTCTTGCCGTATTCTCTGATTTTCACTGGTTCTCTTGCTGTTATTGATCCGTGGTCATACTTGAAATAATTCCAATCCGGACAGGTTACAGTAGAGCAAACCAGTAGTAAAAACTAACCAATGACCTTGAACGCATACACTTAGTTGGATGACGCCAACTCCCATTATATGAAAGCGCCACTATGCACAAATTGAGCGACAATTTTCATCCTGTTTTCGTTTTTTTTCGATAATGTGTTAATAGCTGGTCAGGGTGACATTTAACTATTTAGGGTTACGATTAGGGTTAGGATCGGGATTCGGGTTAGGGTGTTTAATTCTATTTTGTGCATTTTATTTCTAGTAAAAATCGTTTTCGATCGCCCTACTGAAACCCATACTACCTATTCAACCAGCGGATAGCATTTGGGGAAGACTGAAAAAAAAACAGGATAAGAGCGATAGATGGGTAACAGGAAGAACTCATCATCTTCAATCACCTCGATGAATGAATACATGTAGGGTGACTAGTTTAATCTCATCCTGATATTAATCATTGTAATATCAGGGAGATATGCTTAAGTGACATTCGGGAGAAATATCCTGTTAAATGTGTTTTCTCGTTATTCACTGTATTTCTCTTATGTAAAAATCACTGGTTTTTCTGATTGGTATCTTCAAAGTTACTCTTATGAAAACTAATTTGTTGACTGGAATTCTGATGAGACATCGCGACCAGTACGGTACACCAACAGGTCGGAAGTGACGACAAATATTCGTCAGTGACATTTGTTGATGCTCCCGATAGAATTTATGAGTAGGTAGAAGTTAGAATCCATGGAATGGTCATTGTATTGGGTCCTAGTGGCTAAATGGTCAATGAGATAGCTCGCCTTGTAACCAGGATGTCGTGGATTCGAACCCTGGTGGGTGGTGGGTGGGTAGTGATGATGCATCGCAGGCTAGGACGAAACACCTATCCAGTACTCCATGATAGCCACTGATGAACAAGTGGTTGTGCTGATGGGTCCAGAATTCGAGTTTCGGTAGAATGGCATCATTCAATGTGGATCACAGGTAGGTAGGTGATGACGAGTCCAAGATAGGGTGAAATGTGCATCCGTGATCCGACTGCTAGTCACCATCAGCCAAATCAACGGACATCGACGTTAAATGATATCAGTACATTCCACTAAAATGGCTTCATACAGCAAGTTCATGTGTCGTCTATTATTCCTTCATATCACATTATTCGCGTCTACTTTATTGCTTTTTTTCATTTGATTTGGAAGAGTACTGCCGAAAAGATTGTCTCAACGCAGTCCAATTCCTAACAATTTACACTTACATAATTTTGCTTTCTTTTTTTTACTGTAAAACATTCGACGGACAGAATCAACATTATCCATTCAATCCATTCGAGTTAACTAACCATGCTGTACTGCTAGTTGGTTATGGTGTTGACAAGAAGACAAATCTACCCTATTGGAAGATTAAAAATAGTTGGGGTGAGCAATGGGGTGAAAATGGATTCTTCCGAATACTACGTGGTTCAGATGAATGTGGTGTTGAAAGTCTTGCTGTTACATTTGATGTTGTATTTTAATGTGAAGAAGGTAAAAATTGTACGCTTATAATGTAATTAAAGAAAGCAGATTAAATGAACGAACGAGGCTTTCTTATTTTGTCATATTATTATTACTGTTCCCTTGGGTTCCTAGTGGAACATAGGGCTTCAACGGCACGCCTCCACTTGCTTCTGTCTTCTGCTGTACTTTTCACTTGCATCCATGTTAGTCCATACTGTTTCAACTCTTCTTCACACGATCTACTCCATGTCACCCTTGCACGTCCCACTCGCCGCTTCCCTTTCGGGTTCCACTCGAGCACTGGCCTGACGCGCGATGTCACCAAACGGCCTCCTCAGCGAGTGTCCAATCCATCTCCACTTTCTCCTGAATATTTGTTGAGCGATTGGTTCTTGTTTTGTTTGTTTCCATAGTTCCTTCTTGGTGATTCTTTCCGGCCATCTGATCCTGAGTATAGAACGAAGACAGTTGCTGTTGATAAAGGTCTGCAATCTGTTCTCATATTATGCTTATATGCAAATTCGGGAACGTTCTGTTTCAATGGATACAGAGGAATTTGGGACTTCGATTTGACTGTGTTCTCTTAGGAACTGGTTGATTTAATTGTGAAGATTTCGTTGTCCCTCACCTAGACAACACCTCCAGCGCAGACTTCAATATGAAGTTAACTTGTATGAAGTCTTTGTGAATGATAATATAAATGTATCCCATGACAGTCATTTTAGTAATTGCCTGTCAGGTGACATTGATCATTTTGTGCCGGCTTGGAATATGAACTTTCTTGTCATTTGATTTATTTTTATTGATTGGTGAGTTTGATCTGCAGTGATGTGTGGGTCTAATTAATCGCTGATTCATCTGAGTACCACACCACACTTCTAGGAATTCTCGGGAATTTGTTCGATGTTTCCTCAGTCTAGAATTTCTATACTATCCCAATCAATCTGATGTCTGTGATTGTCTACATGCGCTGATATAAAACGAATACAACGTGTCATGTATTATCGCAGCTAATTTATGTTTTTCGATTTTGATTCGAAGAGGACGCTCACTTTGACCAACTGAATTATTCATGGAGTATTCAAACAAGCTCACTTCATACTAAAACCTGTGCTGAATGTGGTGTCTAGAAGAGGGACAACGAAAGCTTCGCAAATTCATCAGCCAGCCCAAATGGAAATCACCCACCTGAGCTTCATATCTTCTCTATCATTTCAATTTGAAACTTCAGCTTCTTGAAGGTAGCGGGCTGAAGATGTTGTCCGGAAAGACAGTGGCGCGTCTCCAGCTTAGATGACACAGCCTAACCGTGTCATTAGGTGGTAAATTAATCTGGATTGCCTACATCGATACAATGATTTGTAAAAATGTATACTAAACACAACAAATTCAGCAATAAACTTAGCTCTTCTCGATTAATTCAAGTATTCTGTAGGAAGTAGAGTGTAGCTTGTTACATTTTGTATATGAATTAATATATATATACACATATATATCACTTTTGGTACAGAAACTTCATCCACTCATTCCTTCGCCATCCGAGTGGAACATTACGACATCCAGCTTTGAGCTTCGAAGTTCCAGTAGTGATGGTGACTTCTAAAAGGTGCATTTGCTAGTCTCACGCCCAACCTTCCTTCTTTAACCGAACTTACTGCGAGATAAGTGATGTTCAGGAGTGTGTCACCCAGAAGTCAAATCCACGACCGTGTCTGTTGTTGATACACATTCTACCACTGAACCACATATTAGAGATTTCTAGTTTGCAGTGGTGACAATCACTTTTGCAGAATAGTTTTGCTCTTTGTAAAGACTCTTTCTCAAAGGCCTCATAAACTGTGCCAGGGAGGACTCACTACAGTATTTCGGATTCATTTTCATATGGAACAATCTCTTAACGCCTAGCGATTCGAAGCTGACGATTTCATTTACACCTAAGACATCCGGAACTTTCGTTGATGCTGTAGTGTTGCGTAAATTTTATCATTCAATGCAAGAACTGTCAACATTTAGTCATTTGCATAACGGTGTCTGAAACAAATGATATTTCAGTATATGACAAAACCACCCTTGTCATGAAATCTTCAGGCAAAGCTACCTTAATGTACAGTCAGTGTATTCCTCCATTCAGTGATCGCAAGTCACTTCCATGCTGTGCACTTATTTAGGGTGTTTATACATGAAATGTAGGTTGATAATAGAGGCCGAAGATTATTGTCAGTTAGTAAGAAAACAAATCAAAGTGCATGGGGAGTAAGCATGTTTGAAAAACTATGAATGGCCTATCGTGGTCAAGAGGGTTGACAACTAACATTAGATAAGCGATGAATAACCGTTTGGAAGTCTCATACATTTATTCCCTTTAATGAATTTGAGCATAGCAAGAACTACGGTTTTAGCAGAATAAAATGGTATCATCTTTTATTTCGTTGCCTTCTCGTCAGCTGCTTACAGGGCAAAGACACTAATCAATGTAGCTACAAAAACAATTTTAGCATACTTGCACAGAGTTCATTTTAAACAAAAATCAATCGATCAATATACACATACACTAATAATATATACACATATATATATGCAATATTCCGAACAATAATAATCATACACAATGAAACTTTTCAGCATCTCGCATTCGGATGAAAAGTATCCAGTTACCAGGCAGAGCAAAGAAAGACTGATAACTGCTTCTTTCTGGACGCATAAGTCAGGTTTCAGGCGCTTGATGGAAATGGCTAAGCTCGTTCCCGTCTATCGAACAACTTGCTCTTTGTGCAATCAAAAATCGATGGATATCCTTCTCATGCTAACTCCAACTGCATATACAAATTTACATGTATCTGCGGGAGCAGTTACATTGGAAGAACAGAAAGAAGAGCATATCTACGATTTTCTGAACATGTACCAAAAAGCTTACGCCTAAAAGGAACAAATGCTTTAAACAGTGCCACCACCAGGCATCTCCTCGACACGGGTCACTAGGTGGACGTCGAAAAGTCGTTCAAAATTATCAATAAGCAAAAGAGCTCAATTCTCCTTATGTTCGCTGAAGCCGTTTCCATCAAGCGCCTGAAACCTGACTTATGCGTCCAGAAAGAAGCAGTTATCAGTCTTTCTTTGCTCTGCCTGGTAACTGGATAGTTTTCATCCGAATGCGAGATGCTGAAAAGTTTCATTGTGTATGATTATTATTGTTCGGAATATTGCATATATATATGTGTATATATTATTAGTGTATGTGTATATTGATCGATTGATTTTTGTTTAAAATGAACTCTGTGCAAGTATGCTAAAATTGTTTTTGTAGCTACATTGAATAGTGTCTTTGCCCTGTAAGCAGCTGACGAGAAGGCAACGAAATAAAAGATGATACCATTTTATTCTGCTAAAACTGTAGTTCTTGCTTTTGGAAGTCGTTGATAAGAGACAAGAGAACAAAAGATTTCAAGTGGGTTGCAAAACACATAGAAAGTGGACAACATGGAGATTATTATACAGTTGGTTATTTTAGAAAACGAGAAAGGAAGCAGAGGAAAATAAGAGAAGAAAATAATGAAAGAGCTGGTTGGATGAAGCCTTTCTGAACACAGAGTCCAAATTCCTTTATAAGGATTACTAAGGCTTCAACTGCATGTAGAAGATGCAGATGAGATCCTTTCAAATGCCTTTGTCGTACTTTATATATGAGTGACTCTAAAAGAAGTCTGTACTGTTGCTTTATAGTCAGAAGTAACAGTGTGCTGCAGAACTGAGCTGTTGACAGCTCTACATTCGCCTTCTATGAACGATGATGGTAAGTATTCGTGGCCACATCTAGATAATGAACGACCTGCTGGTACAGCCAATGTACTTAGCTTTAGAGGAGTAGGTGAATTGGTGAAACAAACAATGTAGTCAAGAACAAGGGGATCTTGTCTTTGACATTTTTGGTAAACGAGGATATGTGTGTAGAGAAGGTGAGACGTGTGAATGCAGCAAAGAGCGTGTTCCTTATTGTATAGAAATAAGAATTTTTCATAGATCCAAGAAGTCTAAGTCACTTCTGTTGTTTTGTGGATTCAAAGGCAACATTCCTACTCGACTGACAAATAGACTGTGACTGTCGACAGTAGAACTATTATTATCGGAGCATTATTTAAATATCAGTATCCACAGGTTGTCAAATGCCTACAGAAAATCTCAGTGTGCCTCAATCTCGAAAGTCGTAGTCACAATGAGCGTTATAACGCATTTATAGGTAAGAAGTGCTATTTGTGCTTGTGACTGCAGATTTTAATATGAAAAATGTAGGTGTAGTGAAAATGTTAACGAAACAGGGACTGTAATGTATAAGGGGAAACATGGAACAAGAGAAATGGACGACATACCTGGAAACAAATACGACTGTCATGGGATATCGAAATCGAAAGTATACATAGCTGGCAACTTATAGATATTTATTTATTTTTTATTGTAGCTTGACTCCACCCAGTATTTTTGATACAAGTATGGAATTTTCAGCAAATTTGGCAGGCCGACCATTGATATCAGGTGTGCATCGGCCGAGGATCGAACCCCAGATCATGTGCATGGTAGGCGAGCGTCCCAGCTGCTGTGCCACCGACTCACATCTACTCAGAGAGAAGCCTAATTCAGACGAAATGACTGCTAAATGTTAGATCCTGTTTATTTCTAAGTGATGCTCAAGTAAAAGAAGTATCAACAGTGTTATAAACGAGGATGTCAGAAGTCTTGAACTCGCCGTTCACTGATTTGCACTTTGATGCCCAAATTAGCATACTGTGTTTTGTTTAAGAATGTGATTATGCTTTAATATTTGATGTGTAAATTAGTAATCTCTTTCAGCTTGTATTGTCTTTTTTAGGACAATTTAAGGTCGGCTGTTTTATATGACAGCAATAATTATTGTTATATTGATTTCGACAACATTAACGATATTTAAAATCACGTCAAATCAATAATACCGACAGAGTACACTTCAAAAGCATCAGTAAGAGAGAGACAGAGAGAGATAACATGCATTAGTATAACACTAAACTGAGTATCACATAGATTAAGGGAAGTAACACAGAATTTTTGAATCCA